TGGTGCCGACCTCTTCTTTCCTGGACGATGTGTGCGCCTCAGGCTGTCCTCTCACATTGCACGATTCTGACCGCGCACCGCTTGCCTTTCCAAAGTCAGACGCAGTTCCGCTTGAGTGAGAGGCGGCCAGGACAGCATGGCACTGATAGGACACGGTTGGACAGTCGAGGTAAGCGTCCCATGAGTGTGCTCCATCGCTGCGGACCTAATCGTTATGCAAGATCTAGCCAGGTACGAGCCGCAACATGAGCCTGATGGCGTGGCTCTTGACTGTGATCCTCACGAAAGGTGGGTCTTCGCGCGCGCAGGTGTATGCTGGTTCGCTGAATCCTGATCCACCGCTGCGGCCCTCCAGAGTTCTTGACGACCGTGGGCAGCTGTCGAGCTAGCCCGCCGGCAAGGACATGCTCATCGGCATAGGTACGCGCAATATCACCCTTCCGCTCTCCGCTGTTGTGCTCCGTGAAGTCGACACCCACGGCCCCTTCCATTGCGCGCACACGTATCCAACCGCGCTCACGCTCTTCGTTATGACGCCTCCTCAGACCCACCATCTTCCTCGTCTTCTTCATCGCTCAAGACGCACCGGTCACACGTCCCCATGACGATCTCGACCGCCTCCCTCCCGCACAAGTTCTGGAAGCGCAACATGCACAGCAACCATCAGTACTTTGCGTTGACTTCTAAAACCTCTAAAAGTTTCTAACTTTAGAAGTTTAGAGAAGTTAGAACACTTTAGAAGCTTAGAAGCTTTAGAAGTGTATTTTAGAAGCAGTTAGAAGTTTAGAAGCACTTAGAGATTGTTTGAGGCACATCACTATTGTCGCATTTTTGTCAAAGTAAGAGGAGGCATAACATATTCATACACTGCACCCAATATCTGATCACACAAGTGTAAAAGAGAGGCAAGAACAAATATATTGCCATACAATATGCTACAAGGTACAGGCTATGGACTAGGATGCTGTACATGGGGGTGTCTGGGTCTGTAACGTAGGCGATGTAGGTGACGTTAGGCGTGCAACGTTGGTGATACAGGAGACGCAGGCGCGAGGGTCTGCCTGGACACATACGTGGGTGAGGTGGGTGACACAGGCAAAGAGGGGGATGCGGGCGCAACGTGATCGACTCGGCCAAGGCGTATGGCGTGTCGCGTTGCGGGAGATGTGGGAAATATGAAAGACGCAGGCGAAGGTGGGATGGGCGATGATGGTGACGCAGGCGAGGGCGAGGCAGGCTAGGGCAAGAGGGGACGACACGGCCAAGGTGGGCGACGTGGGCGAGATGGGTGAGGCCAGAGATCCAGGTGCAAGCAGATGCGGGCACGACGCAGGCAACGTGCCCAAGATGAGCGAAGAACGACGCGGGAGATTCAGGCGAGGCACTGGGCGATGTGGGTGAGGTGGGCGCGGTGAGCGATATGGGCAAGGCAATGGCGCGGATGACACAGGTGAGGTCGCGATGCGGAAAATGTGGGCGAGGTGACCATGTGAGAATGGGAATGAGCACGGGCAAAGGAGCATAGCGGACAAGAGGGAAACGGACCGTGAAGGAGCCAGGGCGGCTGTCGGTGGGTGGAGGCTGCGGTCGCACCCGCTGTCCGCGTTGCGCGCACCGAGCGGCGAGTCGTCCGTGACACACCCGCCGCAGGTCTCGAGGTCCGTCCGGACGTCGATGGACTCGCTCCTGCGGAGGTGGCCCTGCCCGTTCGCGGAGATGCCGTGCACGGGACAGCTGCGCTGGCCGATGGGACACGCCGCTGTGCGACGTCGGAGGGCACCTTGGCTGTTGAGACCCGAGGGGTTTGCGCCGCCAACATCGGCTGCGGACGAGAAGTCAGTACGTGGACAAAAAATCGGAACGGTGGAGGGGCGCACGGCATGTGGGCCTGGAGCTGGGGCAGTAGAACTGGCCGTCAGGGTAGAAGGAGCATGGGGGTGAGGAGGTCGTGCCGACGACGGATTACTGGTCGCGCTTGCGTCGTCAGAGTGAAAGCCGGAGCAACTACGATCGCACGTCTGTGAGCATACACGCACAGTGCACCGGGGATTGAAAAGGACGTACTAGGAGCAGTAGGTGGACGCACCCTCCCACGAGAACTGTCCGGTGGGGCACTCCTCGCGCTGAGTCGCGCCGTCGCCTGGCCGAGAGTGCAGGTGGGTATGTCGATGGCGCAGGAGCCCCAGTTGTAGTGGGCAAGCGGGCGATGTACAACACGGCCGCACCGGTGGAAAGAGCGGTGCTCATGTTGGGGACAGGGTTGGTGGTGCGGCCAGGGCCTAGCAAGATGGTGGGCGAGGTGGGGAGCGCAAGAGGGCAGAACGGAGGACTCACCGAGACAGCTCGTCGCGGCGGGTGAGGGGCGTGTTCGCGTGCTCCTCAAAGATGTTGCGCCAGGACGAAAAGACGGGGAGGACAGGAAGAACGGGGAGGACATGGAGGACGGTGCCAGCGCAGAGACACGAAGGCAGGCGCTGGCTCGGGAGGCGTGGGAATGAACGCGCGTTGTGCGGACTCCAGCGCTTGACACTGCCAGCACACGCATCGCCTACCTCACCGTCGTCCTCCGCGTTGTCCTCCACCTCCTGCGCGTTGCCTCCACGTCGCCCTCGTCCTCTGCCTCATTGCCGGCTCTGCCTCGCGTCGCCCTCCCCCGCTTCCGCCGTGTCCTGGCCCCCCGCGTCTCCCTCCTCCACCACGCCGCCCTTGCCGCGTCGCCCTCGCCACGTCATCTACCTCGCGCACGCGTTGCGCACGTCTTGCCCCCGCATCGCCTACCTGGTCCTCGCCTACCTCGCCCTTGCCCTCTTCTCGCCCACCTTTTGCCCGTCTCGCCTAGGCCCCATGTCTTCCGCCTCCCCCGCGTTGCCCGCTGCCCCATCGCCTTGCCCGCGCATCACCCACCGCGCCCTCGTCCGCGTCACCTACGTCGCCGGCGTCGCCCACTGCCCTGCCCTCGCCCACCGCGTCGTCCACTCCGCGTCACCCACATCCCCCGTCTGCCCCAGCGGCCTGCGTCACCGTTGTGGTCCGCGTCGCCCCATCCTCCGTTCACGCGGCGTCATCGCGCTCGCGCGGGCCGTTTTGTGGGGTCGCGGTGGGCTCCCGCGGCCCTAATCTCCCCTGGTTAGTCCTCCCCTCCGCTCCCTGCGTCTTCGCCCACCCTCCTCATCCTCGTCCTCCTCCTACATCACTGACTTCTCTCCCCCCCTTCGCGACTTGGTCCCCACAACGACTCCGGGGACAACCGACACTTCCATGACCTCGAAGAACACCGTCCCGCCGCTGTTCAGCGGACGTGCCTGCGGGAGCGGCGCCCATGCTTGCCAACACGTTCGTCGCCGGTGTGACGCCGTCGTACCCGGGCACGCCCGCGTTCCCCACTGCCTGTGTGTCTTTTCGTCTGTGTTGTGTTTCTGAACGAAGAGCCCTTGCGGGCGCATGCAGTCGTCTTCTCAGCCCAGACTGGCTGGTGCTGATCCCCCACCACTGGTGCGTACAGCTGTGGGGTGCCCGTGTCTTTGGGTGGGTGGAATTGCTGACGCTTGGAACAGATTCCGCCCAAGTCAAGGAGCGGATGAAGGAGCTCGATGGGTTGGACATCCCCGACCTTGACCCGACCCTCGGCGGTGCGACACGCAAGGAGCACCCGGCGGCGTCCTTGGACGTGGGGCGCACGGCTGGTAGACGTGCGCTCACTACGTTGTGGACACCGACATCCTCTCTTGCCCGGACAAGCTCGTGCGGGGCATCAACCTCAACAATAGCCCGTCGACGTACAGTACGTTTTTATCATGTACTCGAGGGGACGGACCGAGGGCGCTGATGAGTCCACGACAGCGCCGAAGGTCCTGGACTTCCTCGATAAGCATGACCTTCATGCGACGTTCTTCGTCGTCGGTTCCCATGTGGTCTCAAACCCCAGGTTCCCGCCCGCGTCGCCCAAGCGCCTCCCTCACCATGTCACCTGTGTTGCTTACCTCGGCCTCGGCCATGTCGCCCCCGTTGTGCCCCGCCTCTACTGCGCCCACTGCAAACCCCCACGCGGCGCCCACCGCAGCCCCGCCCATACTGCCCATCGCCCGTCTTGCTCTCATCCGTCTCACGCTTGCCCGTCTTGCCGTTGTCTTTCCCTCCTTCTCCCACGTCACCCTCGCCCACTTCACCCACCTCGCTCACATCGTCCACATCACGACTGGGCTCGTGTCATCTGCGTCACCACCATGTTGCCCACATGGGGGACCTTGTGCGTCTGTGTGCGCTGCCTCTATGAAATGTCTGCCGTTGTTTGTAGTCCATAGTCTGTACCTTGTAGTATGATGAATATAACATTTAGCTCCCCTCTTTGGTTGTGTGATCTATTGAGTGCATCATGTAAACATATTCGTTGCTAGTTGGGGCTCATTGAGTAAATTACTGTAATACATACTCATGTTGCAGAGAGTTTGACAAATCCTGAATCCTGATCCCTCTAACCTTCTAACATCTCTAACACTTCTAAAAACTTCTAAAAATTTCTAACACTTCTAGCCAAAAAATCTCTAAAATTTTAGAGGTTTTAGAAGCTTTAGAACATAGCAAGACTTACAGATGGATGCCCCGGCGTCCGCCGACTCAGCGGCTGTGATTCGTGTCCCAGTAGCTGTAAGGAAGAATTGAAGCGACTCCGCGGTAAAATGACATTCTTAACCCACCTTGATTTCCCAAATTGAGACCATGAATGCCGTCACTGACCCGGAGATCGACCAGATCGTTTGCGCGATTTGCAACGTCCCCCATGCCGTCCAACAATCTCTGCAACAAACGGCATATTTCCAGACCGCCAAGATTTGTGTCAACGTCTCCGGATGTGACCGGACGAAGGAAGTGCAAGATCTCGCTGAACGTTGAGTACGTATGGGCGAATGACTGCTGAAGCCTGCCTGACGAATCAAGGCAGCTCTATGTTGCGAGTAAGACCCCAATTTGATGGAGTAGATGATTTTTAAATGCACCCTGGACGTATCCCGCTGGGACCACAGGACCGACTGTTGTTGCGCGTCAAGCACTAAGCTTTCGAGCAAACCATCAACGGGGTTTTGAGCCTCCTCTGTGAGCGACGTCTCTAAATCGACGGCTACCCGGTGAGGGTCGATGGCGAGCGGGGCAGCCCGCTGACCGTGGTGTACCGCATCCAGGTCAAGAATCGGGTCGACGTCTTGGGAGTCCCTGCACATATCTTTCCATGGAGCCGAAAGCTCGGGAGCGTGGCGGTCTTGCGCGATTTGCATATGATGTTTCCGAGGGACGAGATCAGCAAAGCGGGCGTCCTTTCGAAGGTTGGCGTCGCTGTCTAACACAGTGTTCATCTGGTCGACAGCCACAAACGAAGTTTGCAGAGATGAGGCATTATTTGATCGAGCCAGCCTTATTTCCTCCTCCCAGGGATCACACCCTTGCAGTTCTGCGGGCTCGTAGTTTATCCAATGCCCTCCTGATATATGTCAGCAAACCATAAGCGGCGGGGGAAAGGGGGACGACTGCCTACCCGGCGGTGGACGAACACGCCGCGCCAGCCATTCTGCAGGAATCCCTGTCAACTCGAAGCAATCTCTTAAGTAGCCGGCCGGAATACAGACGCTTAAAGCGCTACCTTGTGCAAGGGATCCCGATGCTGGGGGCGGTGTGTGAGCGCCGCTTCGAGGCCGAATTTGCCCTTGGGGCCCCCACTTGCTGGCGTCCAAGACGTCCCCAACGGGCACCGCAACGGCGCTGCTGTCAAGCCCCATGTCCCCTACTGGGGGATGCTGTCCAGACTCTCTCGACGGGACTTGGTGGTTGCAAGACGTTCTTCCAATCATCGAAGCCGTAGGAGTCATTGTCCTGCAGAGGTCCCGATTGGAGTCCGCCGAGGAACCTCAGAGGGCCGCTGTCTGAAATCAACTCAACGTCCAACTTATCAAGGACGTGGTTAGAGGAGTGGGCCGTGTCGTCTTGCTGCCGCTCCGACCCTGAAGCAGAAGCAGCTGCGGAGCAGAGGTCAGGCGGGGTATTGGAAAAACGTGGACCGCTCAAGAAACCCGAACCTTCATCGTCAGGTTTGCCCGTATTGTTCAGGCCTAATTCGGCGCCAAAATCGGCGCCCCGTAGTGTAGGGAGTCGAAGATGATGGTCCTTTTGAGCCGTATGATCTGCACCCGCCTCCTGTACCGGGGGTGCGCGCTCTTCGGTGCTCGATGACGCGGACCCTTTCCGTCCGTGGCGGGCGACATTTTTCGGCCTCGCATGTCGCGCTTTGTCGGATGCCTCCGGGGGCCTGGAAGGCACGAATGGCCGAGCGTGCACATGTGTACCGGATGGAGGGCGCTCATCCTGGGCTTGGAAAGGGGGGCGTGGGTCGAAATACGGCAGTCTTTCAAGGTCGCCTCGACGAAGCCTTCCTGCCGACTCGAGCGAATGAATTCTCTTGAAAAACCAGGTTGGGACATCCTCTGCGACGCGGGCGGGGCTTGACCAGTACTCGGACGCGGAATCTTCCTCCGGGTACAACTCAGGATTTGCCAAGCGACGTGCTCTACGCCACCTTGCGTAGCGTTCCACCTCGGATTCGCCGCCGCCCACGTTCTCGAATTCGCATTTTATCTTCAATCTGTGGCAGCGAACGCAGCTACCGCCGATCAAAGGAGCACCGATGCAGGGCACGCCGCGCTCAGCATCACTTTTCTTGCCGCTCTTGGGGGCCTTTTCACAACTGCAGCATCGCGCTCCCTGGCACCCCTCGTTTAGCTGCACGAAGTTCGAACAGTAGTTATGCTGTTTCTCACCTCCGGCCATTCAAATCGTCGTACGTCAAGCGTATCCTCCGGTGGAAAGCCTTCTTCAGGGGGGACATCCGCAAAGATGCGCAGTTTGGTGTGGCACTTCGGCCGGAAGGAGGATCCGCGCTTACTGCCACGCTTATCGGCCGCAGGGCCGACTTCCTGATCTTCCCGGGTTCCTGTAATCGGGCCCAAGGTTATCGGCCGCTATCTCGAATAAAATCCCAACGGACGCACCCCCCTCACAGCCGTCGGTGGGTTCTGCAGTGCCGGGGATTGGATTTGAAGGCGGCGCGGCTTCTTCACCGGCCGCGATTTTCCCACCGGGGCCCTCCGAAAGTTTCCTCCTTGCTTCTTTTCCGTCGTTTGACACAATGTCAGAGTACGTTGGCTCATATAGGTGGCAAGACGCACCCTCTCTCTGCAGCTCCTCTATCGGCTCTGGTGCCCTCGACTTTCCTCGGGCAGCGGTAGATTTCGAGGCCGCCTCAACCTGGTTCAGCGCAGCGGCCGTAGACCGGCCTCGTGCGGGCAAGGGTGAGAGCTGTCGAGGCCACATTCCTGCAATGTAGGTGAGTCACCCCTTCTGATAGAGGTAGACAAAGCAGGTGTTGGTGAATTACCTATCCGGGTAGAGGACGAGGTCGTCTCTGGAGCAGCAGTGAATCCGAAATCGCTCGGAGCATCCGTTGCCGCAGCCGTTGGCAGCTACGGATACATCCGGTCAATCGTGATCCGTGTCTCGCCCCCACGATACGCGCCTCGTTGGGCGGCAAGGCGTGCATCGACGACCTCAGATCATCAAACCGGGGAAACACCGATTGGGGAGTGATCAACACCGGCCAAGGCCTGTCAATGTCGATCGTTGGTGTCTGCTTTGGTCTGCTGCTGGTAAAACCTGACCAAGAATCGTCTTTTGAGATCGTTGATGGCCAATATCCGCTGGCGGGTTGGTCTGACCCGGCCGTTGACAGGTGCAGAGCTGATCGGCCCCGGTTGGAGCACCAGCGGCACACGGCCTGCACCCAACCTGTACCAATCATTTGTGAGCATGCAAAAGATCATATCCCATGGTTAGCTAGATCGTTTACCAAGCACTGGATGATCAATTACGGACGAGAAGAGTCCGATACAACTCAGATACAGCCGGAAGTTCGAAATGTCCCGGATTCAGTTTTATGAACACATGATATAGTAGATGATCAAAGAATATAATACGCAAGTACCCTTAATGGGGCAGGCATTTAACCTTTTGGTGACGCGGGTGACCTTAAGGTGGCGCCCACCATGACCTTTTGAAGGTCAACACCAACATGGCCATTTCGGCGGCAGCTATTAAGATCTCACGACGGTTTACAAAGACATAGCCCTATCACCACGGTAGTGACGGCCTTCCAGTCACCTAAATTGAGTCTTTTGGTGGCCTCATAATGACCCTCGGGTGGCCCAAATTATGACCTTTCGGTCAACTTTTTGCGACATCTCGGCTAACTAGCGCCCTCGCGCACCGCCGCGCAAAGTGCAGTGCGAGTCCGAGCGCGCCGCCACAAGCACCCCGTGTTCCTGGGCGGATTGTGCTTGTGTATGAGGCATCACGTCCAGGCCTTTACCAGGACTTTAACATAGAACATAACCTTTCACCGAGTGCAGAGGCCATTCCACTTCATCAGTGGTCACAACTCGCGAGGCCTCGCGCGGGGTCTGCGGTGCACGCGGGGGTTTCGCCGCGCGCGCGGTGCTCGTGGAGGCGCATGGGTATAGCTTTGCTCTCAGGTTCGCGCGCGCGTCCTCGGTGTGCGCGTAGATGGTGGAGGGGACGGATGGGCATTCGCTTGTGGGGCCCATCACTAAACCTGCATCGGTAATTAAGGTCGCACACGGTCACGTAGGCAGACGACGCTCACGCTGCGACCTCAGAGCGTCGCGCGTGATCGCGCCGACGGGCAGGAGATCACTCGTTGCACTCGACGCGCCGACGCTGTTTGGTCGAAGATTCGTCTTCAAGACACGGTTAGTTCTTCGCCTGTCTGCGAGGTTGACTATGCTTACGAGAGACATGGTTTGAACAGGCGGTGACCTTCCGTGTTCTTTGCGCCCGGCAAGCTCGAGCTCCTGTGATCTATGCGCTTGGCAAGGCCGATCTCCGGTGAGCGGTGCGCCTTTCAAGTCAGTTGACCATAGCCCGTTCATACGCAGGCCCGCAGGCCCACGGCCCGGGGGATGTCAGGCCAGCTGGACGAGTCGGTGCTCAAGCGCTCACGATCTTCAGCATGGGTGCTTGCCAGTTCGACCTGAGTCAGGCAGGCGCCGTGCCCTTCTCGGTGCGTTCCCCGATCCACTGCCCACCTCATGCGCTCCCCGCCTCGCCCACCGCCTCGTCCGGCCCCGTCTCCGCAAAGAAACACATCCCAGTCACATTCCCGTGGCCTTTGTCCTACCAGCGCCGCCGTGTTGCGCCCGTCGACCCCCACCCTGCGCCCGTCGACCACCTCCACCCGCCCCGACGCCTCGCATATGGTGTTATGGCCTGCCCCGCCTGTCTGGTTACGAGCTTCGGCGCGCACCTGTAACGGACGCCCAGCATACGATCGCCCGCCACCCTACCTTTATATACTGTTCCCGCACCTACCGTCTCGCTACGCGATTGCCTCCTGGCTCCTCCCCGTCGCCTCTCCTGCCCGTCTCCCCGCTACCGCAAGCCTCTCCGAGGTCAAGCGCGTCCTCTATGTAATCCGATCCTGTCTTCCTACTCGTCTCCGACTCGCCCGACCTCCGCGCTCCCGCGCTCCGCGACCGTAACATATGGTATTTACCCCCTTCCTCGGCGTTTTCCTCGCCCGCTTCGCGCCCTCCGTCACGCACCCTGGCTCGCCGGGCGGGCGCCCTGAAGAGAACGACCTTTTCGCCCTCCGTCGGCGCTCTTCGTCCCTAGGTCTGTCCGACTCTGGGTCTCGCGCGATGCCCTTC